CAGAGCCTGCTGCAAAGCCTTTCAAGAAATGTTGTTTGGGGAAGCTGGATAGCATCTTTCCTAGGCCAACATGCCTTCACACTCAGTATCTGAATATCCCTCCTGCCCCCTTCTCTATACAAAGAGGCAAGGAGAGGACTGGCTATTCTGTCCACACATGCTGGGCGCCTCAATACAACCCAACTGGAAGGCAAGGTTCACAGGTTGCTCATGGCTGAAACGATTCTAGTGCTTCTGTTTGCCGCACATCTGATATGCATAGAGCCCGGCATGGAGCATCATTAGCGTGTTTTAAAGTCTTAGCCAGACTGGAAGATGAAAGGTAATTAAGGCTTCGGGTCCTCTTTTGCTGTCCTGCCTTCTGTTCCGGCTCATAGCACAACTTCAGGGAGATGAGTGGCAAGACAACGTAATCACTATTGCACGGTTGCCACAAAGAACACCCTGCCGGAAGTCATCCTACAGGGCCAGCAGTGGATGACGGTGAATTTTTTTCAAAGAAAATACTGTGTATATTGGCTTAGTAAAGTAATATCTCAGAGACGATGGAGAGTGGATTTAAACTAGTTAAAATTTTCCTTAAGACTAGACCCTCCTAGCCATCTAACAAAACAAGGAAGGAAGGAAGGAAGTCTTTTGACTCACACAATTCTCGACATTGTGTCTCACTATTTGTTTATCTGGCCAGCATGTCTCTCATTTTAGAATAACACCCCCTCGTTTATTTTTTTTACAATGGTGTCTCCCAAACTCCTCTTCCCACTGTGTCTGTCTAAGCATGAAGTTCAAATGGGAACTGCCAATCACAGTAGCCCACTTGCTTAGCCTCGGGGCATGCATCTGCCCCATCATTAATCGGCCCCTTCTCCCCAGCAAGTCTCAGAATAGAACTAAGGAGAAAGATGCTTTTCCCTCTGGCTGGGAAGCTAAGGAAGTACTTCCTGGAGCAGAGGTCAGCTTTGGGGCATGGATTGCATTTAAAGTAATGAGGAAAACATGCATCCAAAGGGAAATCTGTGACAGGGAGAGTCCTGGGGATATAAGAGTCCTTTCAAGGTTGTTCAATCTTTTAACACTGTGACATGACATTGCTGTCACTTAGAAATGTGTTGGACCATATTTCCAGCTGTCCTGAAGGCACACACAGCTCAGTGGCTACAGGCTATACATGCCTAATTTAATCATACATGGTAGATGATAGTAACCACTCCAAAAGCTAATCTTGATGTACACACGACCTTGATGTACACACGACCGTGCTCAGGCCTTCCCACATTAGCCCTAGATCTGACCATGAAGCTTGACCATAGACTTGACTATGGTGCTGCTTTGGCTAGGACATGTGAACAAATGGGATGTTAATAGAGACTTGGGATGTGCTTTAACATGGGAACTTAACCTTTTGTTTGTGACTTCAAGAACTATTTCACCATTCTAGCATCCGAGGGAGGGTAACCTCAGTCAATAACCCAACTAGAGTCCTGAGAAGACCACATGTGGTCATCATAAGTCACACGAAGGACCCAAGGAGAGATAGGCAGAGAAGCATCACGCTGAGTCCCACCTTAAATGAAGACTCCCAGCTATGAGCATATAAACAAGGATGGTTTATTTCACCAGGTTTGGAGACTTTTGTTACTCAACAGTCGATTACTTGTAGCTGCCTGAAACCTTTTCCTTGTGAATAGACTGACCGCAGGATGAAACACGATGTAGAGTGAACATCCATGGTGTCCTGGCACTCCGATGTCCAGCAGTCCCACCGAGCCACCAGGCTGACACCACACGGAGCAGAGATGTGTCTCCAGATGAGTCCAGCTCCGGCTTCCAGCCCACAGTCCTAAGCGCATAGATGCCTGTTTGATGTCTCCTGTAAATTCACCTCCTTTAGGGGTAGCTTGTCCCAACAGAAAAGCTCCTCTACCTGCTCAGGAGCTATTCTATCCCCATCCTTTTCATAGAACCAAGTGAAAGGTTCAGGCATTACGCTGGCCTGCCCTGTTACCTGGCAGGATGCGCTCAGGCAACACTCTGGCCAGCCCAGAGTTCCATGAGAACCAGGCAGGTGCAAAGGACCCCTTTAAAGGACTGACCCCTGCCCGTTTACTCTCTCTTGCTCTCTTCCTCTCTTGCTCTTACTCTGTCTCTCTCTCTTATCTCTTTCTCTCTCTGCTCTGCACGGATTGGTTACCTCTCACCCCCCTTTTCCCTCCCCTTCCACCAATAAACTCCACGTGGGATCGTTGAGTCGCAGTCTGTGTCTCCTTACTGGATAAACCTAAACATTTTAACAACACCGAGGTCTGATGATTTTGCCCAAACTGTTACAGCAAGATTATTGGGAGGATGCCTAAGATGTAATCACCCCTTCTCCCTACAAAATTCTCATGCTGTACAGAAAAACAATTTGATTCAATTAAACGCTTACTTTATCCATTGCCCCAGCTACTGGATGTGGTTATATGGTTCAGATGACACATTGAAACCACTTGATAAAATGGATCACCCATTTCTTCTACCATCCTTTTTTTTTTGGAGGGGGTTTGCCCTGGCTGTTATTTTGAACCAACGGGGCTCATCACGACAGTCAGGGATGGCAGTGGGCACAGAAGATGGCAGGTCATATCTTGCCGAATCAGAAAGCAGTGACAGATGAAGACTCGAGGTTCTCTTCCTGCTGCCACTAGAACACACGTAAGATGACTGAAGCCATAGCATCTAACTGAGACCCTGAATATAAAAGGAACTCTATGAGAATAATAAGTCAAAGACCCAGTGTTAATGGGCTGGTCAAGATGGCTTTAAAGGACTACTTAAGATTGGGCAACTAAAGGGTTCCTGAAGAATGTTAATGGGCTACGAAAGATTGCTAGTGGCTACCTAATTCCAGAAATGCTATTGTACAAGGAAAACAGAAGTGTGCTTTCCGGACGTCTGTGTATGGTAGGCATCTGCTGTACACAGATACATACACAATTTCCAAAGAAATTACCCGGACTTGACTTCCATGCCTTGCAGCAGAAGACTAACAATTAATGGCCTAGTCTGGTTACACTATAAGGTAAACAGATTTGATTCTCTCTCTAGCACGTGTGTAGACACAAAGTCATGTCCGCTTTTCGCTTTAAAATGGATAAGTAGGGCTGGACAGTGGTGGCGCACGCCTTTAATCCCAGCACTTGGGAGGCAGAGGCAGGCGGATCTCTGTGAGTTCGAGGCCGGGCTGGACCGAAAGCCTCCGAAACAATACAGAGAAACCCTGTCTCGAAAAAACCAAAAAAAAAAAAAATGGATAAGTAGATTTTTACACAAAGTATTTTGAGTTGAGTCCTGGTCAACTGTAGGCCAGGTTGCCCTCAAACTCTATATAGCCAGCGGTGACCCTGAGTTTCTGAACCTTCTGTGGCCACGTCCTGAGTGGTAGAATGAGGGGCATGTGCTACCACACTCAGTTTTTCTGGTGTTAGAGATTTGAACCCAGGCCTTTGTGCACTCTGTCAATGGAACTACATCTCCAACCCCACTAAAAAGCACTTTATTGAAATCTAAAGACGAACACATGGAAAGAATTACACTATGAACATATAAACTAAATATAAACAATGTGAAATTGCTCTTTCTCACCAAGTTTTGATTCTGTGTCGCCACATAAGCTCTTTGGAAGCCCCACTCTGGAACCTTTACTCTAAGTAATACTTCTCAAGGTGAAGTCCTCCAAACACATCTCTATCAGCATCACCTGATAGAGAGGCCGAGGCTTGGTCCTCACCCCTGCCCTGTTGAACTAGAAGCTCTGGCCATTGGGCCAGCAATAGTGTTTGCGTGTGGTCCTGAAGCAGCCAGCAGGGAAAGCTATTTTCTTCAGATACTTTCTTGCCAATTTCTAGTGGACAGTGAATCCCAACTCCTCTTCTTCCAGAGCCGCTGATTCTCAACTTGTGGGTTGCAACCTCTTTTCTTGGGGGGTGGGGCTGAATGATCCTTTCACAGGGGTCACATATGAGGTAACCTGCATATCAGATATGTACATTACGATTCATAACAGTAGTGAAAGTACAGTTATGAAGAGCAGCGACGAAAATAGTCTTACGGTTGGGGTTCGCCACAACATGAGGAACTGTGTTGAAGAGTTGAAGCATTGGGAAGGTTGAGAAACACTGCTCTAGAGAGTACTGGATAATGTTTGGAGTCACAGGGAACCTGACATTGAATTGTGACCCCACCCCATTAGTTGGGTGCTCTCTGGTCAGTTGACTAGCCCTAACATTTTGGTGTCTTGATTTCTTCATGGATTTTGGTAATATATTGTTTATAAGTTATTAAAGCCAAGCTGAGGATCAGAGAAGCAAAACAGCTAATCCAGTCTCATCCTTCTACCCTGCTGAAATGTCAATCCTGTCTCCACGAATCCTAAGAGGTAAAAGCTCTCAGATCCCGTCTCCTCCTGCTCCTCCTTTTATTCCTTTCTCCACCCAGCCGTATAACTCCTGTCTCCACCTCCCTAGTGCTGGGATTAATGGTGCGTGATACCAAGCGCTGGGATCAAAGGTGTGAGCTTTGTTTCTCTTTTAGCCTGATTCACTCTCATGTAAGTCCTGTGTCGCCTTGAACTCATAGCGACCCATCTGCCTTTGTCTTCAGAGTCCTGGAATTAAAAGTGTGTGCCACCACTGCCTGGCTTCTATGGCTAACTAGTGTGGCTGCTTTGCTATTTTGATCTCCAGCGACTTTAATAAAACATAAACCATATATGACTACAATGGAAAAAGTGGGAGGGCACCTATAGGATCATGGTTTTCAAAGGAGCTTAACTTCTAGATTTCTTATTTCTGGAAACATCACCAGTGCCCTGTGTCAAGTGCTTATGAGTAATGAGTGCAAAGACTAGAGGAGGTGGAACTGTCCCATCCCCTTACAGATGGATGTCATCGGGGAAAGGGAAGAGTCACAGTTGCAGCAGCCAGATGGACCATCCGTTCCATTCAGATCAGACAAGAAACCACAGGAAACAGAACGTTTAATTACCAGAGCCAGGGCCCCTATGGATGTGGTTCAGGGCCTGAGGCCACGTATGGCCTTCTGACATACATCTTCATCTCCCCTGGGTACCACAGAGTTGGTCAAGACTAGCCCATTGCCTTTCAATGCTCTTCCAAATATTGCAGTCACTTCCATTTCTGAGCTGTCTGCCACAGACACAGAAGTGCCTCTGCGTCAAGGCAAGCCATCTCTACCTTTAACACTTGAGGCTCAGTGTGACCCCTTGATAAAGTCTGCAAGACACAGCTTCTGAGGGTAATTTGTCAAGCCGGTAATTGAGCAACAGGGCACAGATTCCTTCCTGACTTCTGCAGATAGGGGCTTACATCTCAGCATGGAATTTGTTTACCCTTATCTTAGCAAGCAAGAACAAATTACCCAGCCTTGTTATAAATCCCAAGGCTGTGCCTGGGGATCAGTTTCTGTGTAAATCTCCCACAAACTCTGCTTGGTTAGCTGTTTACTTTGTTCCAGACTTCTCTGCTTCCAGACTCCCAAATGTCATTCACACTGGGGGGACAATGAAAGTCAGGAGAGAGCAGCCACAGTCTCCGGGCCAGCAGGAACCCTCCTTGCAAGGATGTGTCAAGATTCCATTGCTGGGAAGACCCACTCAAGCAGGAAAGCCCAGCTCTGATAGCCTGGGGAGCCAGGTCCAGAACTTCTCTCTTCTTCTCTTCACTCTTTGAGAGTGGCCAGTCTGACTTGATCCCCAGGACACAGAACCTGTGCAATTAGGATGGAAATGACATTGATAGCACTGATACCCTGTGGCTAGACTCAACCTGAAAGGGGGGGGGCACGACACCTCTATAAACTGAACAAGTAATTTAAACCATCAAGGTGAAGATCTTTGCCCTAGATACCTGGACCTCAGAAATACAAGCATCGCCCAGGGAAGAAACAACACTGGGAAAACATTAGAAGAACTTTCTACAGAGACGTTTGCATGCCCTGCACCAATAGTGCTCTTATTTGTCTTCAGGCCTCCAGGAATGTCTCTGGGAGGCTCATAAAAGGGCAGGGAGGAGAGCGCTGTAAAAGTTAGGGAATGAACACAGAGACTGCAAGTGAGTCGCCAAAGGCCACAGAGAAATAAACTGCTGCAAGAGAGCCTGTGGGTTTCCCGCTGTGCTTTAAATCAGTGCCTCCAAGGACACGGACACACACACATACACAAACACCTCACACACACACACACACACACACACACACACACACACCATATACATATACCACACACACCACAGACACACACACACATACCACACACACCACAGACACACACACTTACACACAAAATACACGCATCACACACATACACATACACATACACATACACATACACACACACATACACACACACAAACTTCGTGGAGGAGTTGTTAAGTGCAGCACACCTTAGCAGTCAGGGTCATCTTGCATCTTGCATTCCCAGGTGGACCCATATGGCCAGCTGGACGACCATGAAACAAACCACTCAGCTCCTGACCCTCTGCTGGCTGTAGCTTAAGAAGGCCAGGGTCTGCAGTTTCCACAATGGCCCACAGGTTTCTTCTTCATCTCAGAGCAGGAGAGGACGGATGTCTCACAGAACTCTGTAACTGCAGTTAAATTTTAATCCTCACAGATAGGCAGGATTGTGCCCTCGGGGTACTGCAAGATACCTGATCATGAAGCAAAAATGCAATTATTTTCATTCTACTCCAAGATCTCAGGCAGGTACGTGAACTAACACAGTTTTGAGGATTTTCAATAACGAAGGATGCAACTACACGGGTTTTGCTTAACTCCAGTTCAACAGAAATCTAGTTAACCAGAGATGTTCAGAGGAGAGTATTCCAAATAAATCTGCTGGATTCTGTCTGTAAGATATTTACATAACGAATGAAGAAGCCGTGGATAACAACAGGAAGCTGCTAACGAACCTTTTGTGAGCATGGATCTAGTCCTTCACAATGTACACAATAACCGGTATGTCACCAGGTGAGGGGAACTTGCCTGCTAGGAACAGGGGTCTGTTTTGACCTTGGCAAACAGGCAGACTCCTTCATGCTCAGGTTGGCATTGTGTGTAAGTGCCTGCAGGAAGCCAGTGATTCGGGACAGCACACTGAAATCCAATTTGTTTATCTGTGTTGGCAAGCCCCCGGAGCTCTAATGATTCACACCATCCCTTGGTAATTAATTCATTTGTCAAATCAGTCAGGATCCCTGGCTCACCCTCCACCCCATGCCACTCCAGGCAATCCCTACATAGAAAGGTCGGGTTGCGTGTCCCAGTAGGACCATCCGCCCTCAATCTGTTTCTGAAATCTGTATGAGTAGGCTGAACTCTGAAGCCCCAGCAGAAGCTGTAGGGTTGGCTGTCTGGGTGAAGCATAGCCAGCCTTGATAGTAGAGACATTTCACCTTGTGTAAAGGTTCTTTCGTGTCACAGAGTTGTGACAATACTGGGATGGATACTGGCTTGAGTAGGAAGGTGGCCAGTGCAGGTGGCTCAGAGTTAGTCTTACCCGGGTCCACGTTCTTCTACACCACCACTTGGGGGACGGTTTCTTCATCAGGGTTCTCCACAGAGACCAAACCAAGAAGCGATGGATAAGTAGGTGGGGGATGAGAAAGTAGGTAAGTACACAGACAGACAGGGGATGCATTAGGGGAACAGATTCACAAAATGAGACAGACTGGTAAGTTCTACTGAGTAGGGGGCGGAGTCACAGCTGCTACCCTGGATACAGTGAGGAGTTACACCAAGCTTCTAGGGACCTCAACTCAGGTCAAACCACAATCATGGCGTCCAAGCTGTGGAGGAATTCAGAACCAGCTAGCATAGTCAAGAAAAGTAGATGGTTTTATTGGAGATGTATTTTTATTACTATATTTTGAGATTATAATAGGATTATACGATTTCCCCCTTCCCTTTCCTCCCTCAAAACCTCCAATGTACCCTCCTTGCTGTCTTTCCAATTTGTGACCATTTCCCCCCTAATTGTTGTTACATGCATATGCATAAAGATATTTTAATATAGATTTAAGCATGAGGGTTAAGAGGAAGAAAGGCACTCATAAAAAATGATACATACCCAAGTGGAGAGTATAAGTTTCTCAAGGGAGAGTAGGGGAAACCAAGACATGCCCAACTGTGTCAAAGAAACTGGGACCGATGGCTAACTGAGGTTTCTATTAACACACCAAAGCCCCAAGCTCAAAGTGACTACCTATTACAAAAGTCCTGGCACCTCTCACCCTGACCCCCTTTCCTAACCCTCTCAACCACTGAGCTTCCCTTCCCTTCTCGCAGCTTCTCTGATTCCTACATAACTCAGTCATTTTGGCCACACCCCCCTGGTTCTTCTCTCTTGGCTCCTGGCTGGCTCGTTCTTAGCATCTCTCCTCTTCCTTCTGTCTTCCCTTCCTCTCCCACTCTCCTCCTGTTTCCCCTTTCATGGCCCAGTTTGGTCTCCTGGTACCGTTCAGACTGGATGGACCCTTCCTGATGCCTTCGTGTTCTCTCCCTCATATCTACAATATGGACTGGGAATGGCCATGTCCTCGTTTTCATTCGAGTACCACTTGAATGGAGGAGGAAGCAGTTGCTTGTCTAGAGTCAGCCATCTGTACCCTTTTGACTCTTGGGTTACACTTCAAAGGCTTCAAAGAATCTCCTTTTCACATTCTTCCATTTGATAAAAAGAGATAGACACATAAGGTGACTCCTCAGAAGGCTTGGCTGGGATTACAATAGGATAGGATCTACCTACAGAAAAGTGCTTGCTCACGACTGGGGAGGGACAAAGGCCATAAGCAGTCATTAATTGTGCTAAGGTGTTTGCTTTGCTGCTGGCAAAGGCTTCAAATGGATTCTAGAAAGAGGGCATTATTTTTTTCTCCCCACTTTTCATGTCCCTAAGATTTTCTGGGCCTTTCTGCTTCACCAAGATGGATAGTGTTTAAGCTGGACCTGTGGAGTGTCCCGCGCTACCGTCTCGCCAGCAAGAACGACGCAGAACACTCGGATCCTTCTGCAGTAAAGCTTTAATGCATCTTGAGAGATAGATGATCAGCTTCTTAGAGGGAGACCCCAAGCTAAGAAACCCAGCCCCTTATATAAGCCTAGGAGCTCCGAGTGAGATGTGTAGAGCCGGGATTGGTGGTTTGCACATCACCCCAGATGACGTCACGGGAGAGGCACAGTTTAAACGGTTAACTCCAACTGACAGCGACAGTTAACTCCAACTGACAGCGACAGTTAACTCCAACTGACAGCGACAGTTAACTCCAACTGACAGCGACAGTTAACTCCAACTGACAGCGACAGTTAACTCCAACTGACAGCGACAGTTAACTCCAACTGACAGTGGATGTCAGCGCCATCTTCTAACGGCAATAGCGATAGCGAGGGCGGCTCCTCACATCTCCCCTATTCATTTATTTTTGAAGCAATAGGACACCCACAACTTTGGAGTGGAGATAGAGGTCAAATCCCCATGTGCAAATTCGGAACATGTACAAAGCTCCTCTCCAGGGTCTTATCCCCAGAGGAAGTCCTGACCAGTCCGATGTCTTTTTTCTGGGGGAAGGAGATCATGACATAGAACCTTCATGCAAGATGACTTATCTCCCAGGAGAAAGTCGTTATACCGCAGACCTCTCCTGTGCAGTGCTTAGCCTTGCAACTCCTTGGGCTGCTGAAGCCTACCCACTCTATCCCGTGCAATGAGACTAGCCTCGTGGGGTGCAAGAGCTGGGAGGCCAGCGACCTATTGCTTTAACATGGTTAACCAAATGTCAGGGGATGCTCCGTGTTCTAAGGCAGCAAGTGCTTGTGCCACCACCACTTTCTCCTTTTGTTTGGGCTCTGAGCGTACACACCATCCAAAGCATCAACACTATTCCACAGCAGAGAACTAGGCTAAATGATCCTACCCCCACCCATTCCTTAAAATAAGAAAATGCAGATGAAATCCAGGGGAGAGGTCTTCCATCAGAGAAAGATCCAGATGCGTCGAATTCACTTGCAGGATCGCCATTCTCAACTCACGGAGTGTCTGCTCAAACTCAAAAGTCCAATTCTGTAATAAATGTTGAGACAGAGCTTTTGACAGGTTAGCTGCTCTTGTAAAATTCTCATATTGTACTGAAGTGACACAAAGGCCAGGCAACTTTGTTCACATCCCAATTTGGCCATCTGCCACAATATATCCAATTGTTCCTGAACCAAATTAATCTGTTGGTTTACCAACATCAGGCCTCCTTGTATCTGAGAATTGGCAGTGGCCTGTTTATCTAGGACCATGGTCACAGTGGCCTATAGTTCATTAATGGTTTGAGTTGTCTGCACAGTGGCAGAAAGTGCAAGGGCCGAGGCGGTAACCGAAGCAGTAACCGCGGCGGTGGCTATCAGGCCCACAATAATAGCAGAGATCCCAAAAATCTCGCTTTTCCCTAAACAAACTCAAATTACTTGGCGCCTCAACAGGAGCTGGAATAAATCGAGGCATGCGCATTACCAAAGCAAAAGGGTGCTTAATAGCATCCCAGCATAATGCATAAAAACAATTCTAAGCAGAACAATTTATTTCTTTCTGATTCTTACCTAAGGTATCATTACTCACAACCCAAATAAAGGGCAGCTGAATAATTAGTTCTCTTAAAAGGGGTATACTTAACATTGGAGGAGGACCAATCAGATGATCCAGAGCTCTGTCCCTCACTCAGACTGTTGCCTAATGCCCCTTTCCAATCAAAAGTAATCTGTCCCTTCTCACTATCATAGGAGAAAGATCAGTACAGCTTCCATTAATTCAAAAGGATTAGCATTAGATCTTTCTGGATCCATATGAATAAAATTATCCTTTAATGAAGAAATCACAGTAAAGCACAAGCTTCCTACTAATGACAAGGTTCTCTCATCCTGAAAACTCTGTATCTGAGGATCTAAAGGCAAAAAGGCAAGCCCCAACTCTCTATTATTTGTGAAAAATCTAGGGAACACCTGGGCATTCTGCATCACTGGCATCGGTAGGGGGAAGGTAGACATGATGGCCCACCGTAACTCTCCCATCATACTAGGAACCATCATCCCGAGTAGGAGAGTCTTCATCACCCACTTGGCCTCCATCCTTCTTATTCTGGAGTTGTGAAGGAGCTCTTCGAGTGAGTCTTTCAGGGATCCACAGGGGGTTTTCTTCCTCCTGTGGAAAAACACACACAGCTCCCCTGGATCTTATAAGAATAGGATCCGGGCCTTTCCAGAGATCAGTCAAGACATCTTTCCATTTTACCATTTCTTTTGGCCTATCAGGCTCTAAACTGTGGCGATCAGCCGCAGTGTGGCCTTGGGCATCACAGTTCAAGAAATTAAGGGTAAAAAGTGCCATGGATACAGCAACTCTTGGTACCGAGGGTAGAACATCCTCAATACTCCCCTTTTGTTTAATCAGATATGATTTGAGTGTACGATGGGCACGTTCCACAATGCCCTGTCCTTGAGGGTTATAAGGTAGGCCAGTTAGATGGGTAACATCCATTTGCCGACAAAACTGTCGGAATTTTTGAGAGGTATATGCTGGTCCATTGTCTGTTTTTAAAATTCTGGGTTTTCCCCAAGCACTCCAGGCCTCAAGGCAATGTTGAATCACATATGAGGCCTTTTCCCCTGTTAGGGGTGTGGCAAACATTACGCCAGAACAGGTGTCAACAGAAACATGAACATATTGAAGCCTTCCAAAAGAGGGAATATGAGTAACATCCATCTGCCACATCTGCAATGGTCTAATGCCACGTGGGTTTATTCCCATGTGGGGAGTAGGTAAGAATTCGCAGCAATTCTGGCATTGAGTAACAATTTCCCTAGCCTCTTTCCTGGATAGAGCAAAACGACGGCGCAAGGTCTCAGCCGTCACATGAAAGCGCTTATGGAATTCTTTTGCTGCTTGTGCATGGGTAGACAAGGCAGCGGCCACCAGCTTTGTAGCCTTGTCCGCTAAGTCATTCCCTAAGGACATGGGACCTGGGAGTCCAGAATGTGCTCGGACATGGGTAATGAAAACAGGAAATCTCCTATTTAACAAGGCAGCTTGTATCTTCTGAAAGATGTTAGCAACTCTGCTGGAGGATCTTATTATTCCAGCTATCTCAAGGAGATTAACTGCATTAACCACATAAGAGGAATCTGATACAATATTGAGGGGTCCTGGAAAAGCCTCAAGAACCTCCAGTACTATCAGACATTCTACAACTTGAGGTGAAGTTTCATTATATTGTTTAGATATAACCCTATCCTTGACCACATAAGCTCCCATACCAGTTTTTGATCCATCAGTGTACACCACAGTCCCATCTGGGAGTGGGTCTTTAGCTGTCACTTGTGGAAACACTATAGCCTGGTTTAGGGCAAACTGTAAAATTGGATGCTTTGGAAAATGATTATCAATTTGTCCTGAAAAGGAAGTAACTAAAACTGCCCAATCACTAGATGTGGCTGCCAAGGTCTGAACTTGTGCAGCAGTATAAGGCACAATCAAGGAATCAGGATCCCTGCCAAAATGTGTAACAGCTGCTTTTATTCCGCGAAGCGCGAGCTGTGCAACAGCATCAGGGTACCAGTCAATAATCTTAGCAGGGGAAGCATTTGGATGAATCCAAAGTAATGGTCCATGTTGCCACAGGACTGCAGTTGGCAATTGAGCTGTCTTAAAAACACACAGATTAAAAGGTAGTGACTCCTCAATTCGTTGTAATTGTGCTTCCTGTAAGGCCTCTTCCACCATCTGTAAGGCTCGGTGGGCGGCAGGGGTAAATTTTCTGGGTGAGGAGATATGAGGCTCACCCTCCAGGAGATCGAAGAGGGGTTTTAGATCAGCAGATGGAATTTTTAAAAAGGGCCTCAACCAATTTATATCTCCCAGAAGTTTCTGAAAATCATTTAATGTTTGTAAGTGGTCTTTGCGAATTTCTATTTTCTGAGGAACTATATTTTTGGGAGTAATCTTTGAGCCCAAAAAGAGCCCTGTATCTGCAATTTGAACCTTTTCTGAGGCAATCTCTAATCCCCACTGTTTTAATTCAGCCACCAGCATGGGAAAAGCCTTTTGTAAAACATCTAACTCTTTGTGACAAATAAGAATATCGTCCATATAATGGATAACGATTAAAGATGTAAATTGCTTCCTAATTGGCTCCAAAGCCTCCTGCACATATAGCTGACATATTGTTGGGCTATTGGCCATGCCTTGCGGCAGTACCTTCCACTGAAATCTCTTGTCTGGTTCCATATGATTAAGAGAAGGGATAGTGAAGGCAAACCTTGGTCTATCCCGTGGGTAAAGTGGAATAGAGAAGAAACAATCCTTAATATCTATAATAATAAGCTTCCAATCTTGAGGAAGTGCAGAAAGCAAAGGAAGGCCTCTTTGAACAGGGCCAAAAAGATGCATCTGATTGTTAATGGCCCGCAGGTCGTGGAGTAATCTCCACTTCCCAGATTTCTTCTTAATAACAAAAATTGGTGTATTCCATGGGGAGGTAGAAGGCTCTAGATGCCCCAGCCGTTCCTGTTCTTGCACTAATCTTGTGACAGCCTCTAATTTTTCAGAGGATAGAGGCCATTGAGAGACCCATAACGGCTCCTCTGTTTTCCATGGTATGGGTCGTGAAGCCTCAACGGCCCCTAAATAAAACCCAGTCCTTTTCTACCCCGATTTCCGTGTTGTGTAATGGGTTTTATTCTGCCTTGTTCTTGCCTACCCAAGCCTCTACCATTTGTATACCCCATCTTTGCCATAATGGCTGATGCCTGGGGGAGTATTCATTAGTTAGGGTCATGCCCATGGCTTGTAACACATCTCGTCCCCATAAATTTACAGGGAGTGGCAACACATAGGGGGTAAAACATCCCTGTTTGCCTTCAGCATCCCGCCAGGTTAAGGCTGAGGCACTGATGGCAGGAGAGGACTGGTATCCA